TCTTTGGGATCTCTTTTTATTGGTTCACATTTGTATTTTAAACCTACAAAATTTCAGCATATAAGTATAAAAATAGTATTAAGTGTTCAGAGCTCATCAGTTATTAAACACAAACATCAAAAAAGGAATTAGTCATGTTTTAAACAAAGAAAGTGGATTTTTTAAGAATCTGATTTTTGTGTTAGTGTCTTAGTTACTTTTCTCATTGCTGATGCAAAATACCCAGCATGCAAAATTAAAGGGGAAAAGGTTTATTTTGCTCACAGTTTGTAGAAGTTTTAGTCCATAATCAGCTGGCTCCAAGGAGAAGAGTAGGGCATCACAGAAAAGAGATAGTTCATAGTCGGCAGAAGATAGCAGAACAACAAGGGACAAGATAAGCCTCTTTCTGCCCCTTACATTGTATCCAGGTTACCAGGATTAGGGCAGTGCCAAACCAATCAGTAGACTGTCTTAGTAATCACTCACCCTTAATCCTAGCATTGCACACTGTAGATGCAGCTACCTCTGAAAAAGCTGTACCGGTGGCCACATGAGGCTTTGGGGGCACATCTAGACCTAAACCATATCACTCTGCGCCTGGCCCCGCAAAGACTCATGTACATTCCTTTGCACACACATACACACACACAAAAACATTTTGTCCACCTCCAAGAGTTGGGAAAGTCCTAACAGTTTCGGCATTGCTGAAAAGTCCAAGTCCCAAGTCTCCTCTTAGATTTAAGGCAAACTCTTAGCTGTGAACCCCTAAACAAATGAAAATTAAATACTTCCAACATTCAGTGGCTCAAGATAGACATTCCCATTCTAAAAAGGTACAAAAAGGGAATACAAAGGAATGGAACTAAAGCAAGTTCAAAATCCAGCAGGGCAAACACTAGTTCCTGTAGTTCCATGTGCAGTACCTAAAGTCATTTGTGGCAAGTTGTGGGCTCCAAAAAGTTTGGGTGGCTTTGCCTGTGTCCCTGTGAGTATCATTCCATCTTTATTCTGAGAAATACTCCTGTACATGTTCAACTGCCCAGATCTGAGAGCTAGACCTGCATCCTGGAAGAAGACACTGCTTCTAGGACTGAATGCTTATCCAGGGACAAGTTGTCCAGAGAAGCAGGAAATTTTACATTGGAAAGGAAGGATTTTAAAGAACTGGTTCAGAAGATGGTAGGACAGACTGGGGATCCAGGTGAAGGTTAATACCGCACACTCAGGTCAGATCTACTGGGCAGGCTGGGAAGCATGCAGGTCAGTTTACGGGTTGGAAGAACAAAACAGCTTGTGCCTTTGGGAATCTTCAGTCTTCAATCTCAAGGCCTTCAGCTAGTTTGATGTGGAAGATAATCTGCAAAGGTTCAGATGTTAATTGTATTGTTAAAAATACCTCCATGGCAACATTTGGACCAGCATTGCCTGAGCCAGACATGTAGCCTCACAATCACCATGGACTTCAACACACTCATTGGTGGTCAGCGTCACCTGGAGCCTGTCTGTATCCTGTACAGTCACATTGTTTGCTGTGGAGATTGTTGATCAAGCAGCTTGAATGTAGGGTCCCGAGCCTTTGCCCACAGCATTGTCTGTTCCATTCCAGAAGGTGAGATTTCTTGAGACTTGCTTGGGCCAGGGTCAGGGCTGCCACACTGTCCAGCTTGTCTCGAGGTTGGCCTCTGTCAGGTTGAGGGGCAGTGCTGTACCACCAGTTGCTGATTCCACATGTGCTGTGCTCATGGTGGTGAAAATCCTGTCTGGTTTTGGTCTGAGCCAGCTGTGGGAACTGCTCAGCTGTCTAGGATTTGAACCCACTGGAGTGCTAGGAAGCACATGATTCTCTCATCTCACTTCTCCTTGGCTGAAGTCCTTTCTCTAAACTTTCTGAGCATCACTTCTTGTCCAGCTGCAGAACTTTGTGATTAGCCTTGAAGACACAGTCTTGTTGTTTAGCCCAGGCTGACCTTGAACTTGTGATCCTATGTTGGCCTGAGTGCTGGGATCAGTGGTGTACACCACCATGTCTAGCTTTTTGATATTTCCTTAGAAATAGCAACTGGACCAACTTTTTAAAAAACCCTAAAGAAGGTATTAGGGTCATGGTGACTGTGGTGACACCTATCCTTTATTCCCTTGTCTTCCTCTCTAGTGCCAGTTGGTGCTTACTTTGTGCCTAGCAAGACCCCAGGAGGTCAGAAGAAATATTTCACACTCTGGAGCTTAAAGGACAGTGAGGGCGTTGGAGCTGATGTGTATAGTGAAGCGGGTGCACTATAGAGAAAACACTGGTCAAATGCCTGCAGTTAATTATTTTACATTAATAATTAGGGGATTTTCTTATTAAATGGAGATTTTTAGGTCATGCCTACTAGCCTAGTAGAAGTGAGTTACTTAGTGTCAGAAGAAAAACTCAAGTTGTTGGATAGAAATCTGAAATGATCAGGACCTTTCCTTCTTTAAAGAAAAATGAATAATAAAGCAATATTACTGAAGTCTATCAAGTTGTAAAGTAAATATGTAGCTTAAAACCAAAATAAAGGGGCCAGGGAGATGGCTCAGTAGAATAAGCACTTGCCTGGCAAGCGCAAGGGCCTGAGTCCAATCCCCAGTTCCACCAAAATAAAGAAATAAATCCAAAATAAAGAATTTGTACAGTAAAGAGGAAGGCCCGAGGCCCACATCCCAAGACCTGGTGAAGTAAAGTTGAATTTTGGTGGTAGAGGTGATAGTTTATCCAGTTCCTCAGCAATGGCAGTATCTGGGAGCAGTAGGGCTCAGAAAACCTGGGAATTGGCCAACAACATGCAGGAAGTCCAGAGTATCAACAAAATCTACAAATATAACAAAAAATAGCAGCAAGAAATCCTGGCAGTGAAGCCCTAAGTTAAGGATCACCATGATTTTAAGTACTATAAAATCTCAGCACTGGTTCCATTGAAAATAGTGGTACCTGCCAGATCAGGAGGCAACCTGGAAGTGGTGGATTTGGTGCTCAGAACGCTGGATGGGGAAACCATGATCATTACGGACAGTTTTGCTCTGCCTGTAGAGGGCACTGAAACCCGAGTAAATGCTCAAGCTGCTGCATATGAGTATGTGGCTGCATACATAGAAAATGCCGAACAGGTTGGCCGCCTTGAGAATGCAATTGGCTGGTATCACAGTTGGCTGTTAGCTTTCTGGGATTAACATCAGCATGCAGATGCTGAACCAGCAATTCCAGGAACCTTCTGTAACAGTTGTGATTGATCCAACAAGAACAATATCTGCAAGGAAAGTGAATCTTGGGGCTTTAAGGACATACCCACAGGGCTATAAACCTCCTGATGCAGGACCTTCTGAATATCAAATTATCCCACTAAATAAAATAGATTTTGGTGTACATTGTAAACAATACTATGCCTTAGAAGTCTCATATTTCAAATCATCGTTGGAGCGAAAATTACTTGAGCTGTTATGGAATAAAAACTGGGTGAATGCACTGCGTTCCTGTAGCTTGCTTACTGATGCAGACTATAGCCCTGGCCAAGTGTTTGATTTGTCTGCAGAGTCAGAACAGGCAGAAGCCCAGCTGGCCGAGGCAGTTTCATGTTGGGTTTAGAAACACATGACCGCAAGTCAGAAGACAAACTTGCCAAAGCTACACGAGACAGCTGTAAAACCACCATGGAAGCCATCCATGGATTGATGTCTCAGGTTATTAAGGATAAGGTGTTTAATCAAGTTAACATCGCTTAAGTAGTCACTGAGTAGTGCTTTTGGCTGAAAGCTGCTTTGTGAAAAATATTCAAGTAACACTTTTAAAAACCACTTACCAAAAACCTGATTAGAAGTCTAAGGTGCTCTGAGGTGTTCTGAATATTAACATCCTGTAATGAAACCACAAAATGAAAAAGAAAAAATGTAAGACTGAGCATGTGGCATGTGCCTATAATCCTAATTTTGGGAAGCTAAGGCAGGAAGATTCTAGATTTTCAGCTTAGCAGCGATGGTGAACATTTTAGAGCTTTCAGTGACACCCACATTTTATGTGTGACACAGGCTTGCCACCACTGACAGCAAGACCTTGTCTCTGTCAGTATATACAATAAAAAGGCCTGAAGATGTAGTTCAGTGGGGAGGCTCTAGATTCAGTCCTTAGTAATCACCGTAGAATTGGGAAATCTAGGCATACACTTTATCATGGGGCCCAATTTGCAGCTGTTACTTACCTCCTAAAACAATAGTATCTCATTCCACTCAAATAAAACGTAGCAGTCCATTTGTTCACTTACTTCTATTTTGTCACGTCTTGATTAAAAATATATTTAGAAAATTATGACTGAAAACAGATCAAACTTGAGTAGTTTTCCTTTTTAAACAAACTATGAGTATATGTTCTGTATTTTTGCTTTTACTTAGAAAAAAAACTTACTTAGAAAAATACAACTTGGGTGTAGTACCATGTGGTGTAAACAACTGAACTGTTTTACTTTTTACTTTGCTATGAATGAGCCAGTATGTATTTATTACTGGAGTTCCAGCTATAAAACTCAGGTAAGGGGTTTAAATATACCCTAGAGTATTACTTAAAAATAAATTTGTTTCTTTCAAATAGAATACCAATCTTGGTCTATGACATTTGGGAAAGAAATTAAATTATTAAACTTTTACTGCCTACTAAACTGAAAATAAAGGTTATATAAATACAAAGCAGAAAAATATATATACACAACATCACAACCTCTGAAAAGACAAACAGCCTACTGTTCTCTACTGCGAGAGTTTTATCAGCATTAGTAAGTAATTCCACCTCTAGAGTGGGGCTAGTATTAAAAAATGTAAACAAGCATGTACTTTGTTTATATAAAGAAATGTGTAGCATGGTTCGTTTCTTTATGGGTGTGGAACAGCTCCAGGGATTGTTTTAAAGCACCAGTAGGGGCCAGCAAAGAGCTCTTAGAGTTTTCAGAACAGAATTGGCATTGAGATATGTTTATTTGATGTGTTAAATCTTTAGACTTCTTTACTCACCACAGCCTCTGGTAAGTGAATGCACTGCAGACAGTGGGATGAAATGCCCAATGTGCTCAGATTATATTGGGTATAGTTTTTCTGTCTAATCTGCATATATTTTTAATGGAATGTTTGCTTAGGCTATTTCTTGGCAGAGTTTTAATAGTCAAACTATAAATGGCATCATTTAAAGACTGTACTACTTGGCCGGAAAAGGCATTAAAATTATAGGAGAAAATGCTTGGTGACAGCATCTCTTACATTTCTTCTCCCCTCAAATGTGTGCTCATTTTTGTCATAGCACCACTAGGTTTATTTTGTCATTCTGTGTGTAAGCTTTCACTTTTGCACTTAGGTTCTTCTGCAATTTAATGCTGGAAGTTTAATTTGCCCCAATATTTTTGCATTTCTAAATTTACACAAACTGTTCAGATTTACTCATTTTAAAAAATGTAACAGTCCATACTCCTTTCTGTATTAACTAACTTACTAGGATTTTTAGGATGTCCACTATTTGGAAATTTAATCTTTGATTTGATACTCAGTTACATGAAGCTTCACTCCTACCAACTTCCTGTAATTCTATACCTTTGGGTAAAAATATTAGTGGTCAGACTCTGCTGGAGAAAGTATAGGCACTGAGACTCCCTCTTGGAGTTAAATGTTCATTTAGTAGCACTGGTGTGAAAAAATCCTGTTTCCACTTGAAATGCTGGAAGGCTGTTGTTCTTGTGTTACTCATTCATGCAAATTGGAGAAGGTATAATTGAAACAAGGTTGGCTGTGTTCTAGTCAGTGTGCTGCTGCGCCCAGCTCAAAGGTCGCTGGCAGTCAAGTGCCGTGTGTGTGAAGACGTTTGGACTACGAGCGATTCAAGACATTTGGGGAATGTCCATCCAAGAGTGGGTCATCGTTCTCATTTTATGATATATAGTATCTAATGTTTTAAGCAGGATAAAGGCCACGGCTTGAGAGCTCTGTCAGGCACCACGAATGGCTGCTGCTTTCACTGCAGCGCAGCTGCTTCGAGCCTGTCTGCGGACGGAGATATTTGTTTTGACTTTCAGCCCTTGACATGTTTGGAAATGAGAACAAATGGCACAAAGCTTACGATTGCACTTTGCAGCCCGAAGGAGCAATACTTACCCTTTGTCAGAAAGCTCCGGAGATGACCTGGATAGCCGGCTTCACGTATGCTTCCAAAGATCAGCGCAGATTTCCTCAGCTAACGTTGTTCACATGAAGCTGACTCCCAGACAGACTGCTCTGACTCCACTGATAAAGGAGAGTGTGAAGGCTCGGGAAGGAGCCTGTGTTCCTTCGCCCGAGAACGCCAGTAAGAAGAGCAGCTGCCTCCAGATTTCTCTGCAGCCCACAAGGTACAGTGGGTGTCTTCAGCCTGGCAGTGTCTTAGCAGATGGTGATGAAGCCTTGTTTCCTTGTGCCGTGAAGGATGGCATTCACAGCAGTGCTGGGAGCAATGGTAGTGCTGTCAGCAGTGGAAGCCTTGGTAGCTTTGTGGCCAGTGATCACGGGTCCTATAGTAGCGTCGGAAGTGATTATGGGTCGTGTGCAAGTATTGCCAGTGGGGGCTCCTGCACCAGCAGTGTCATCAGTGACAGTAGTGGTTACACTTTTTCACCAAGCCATGACACTTTTTTTGGTGGAAATTTATCTGCTGACAGCACCTCTGACAGAAATGTGCCAGACAGGAATGCCACTCCCTGTGAGAGTTTTTCAAGAAGTCCGAGCACGGATCCTGTTATCCAGGCTGACTTGGAGCATGGAATCAAGACTGTGAAGTTTCCAGTTAACAGGAATGCAAAAATTCCACTGAAACGTTGCTCTTCCTTAGTCATTTTTCCTCGGAGTCCCTCAAACACGCCGCCAGCTTCTCCAGCAGGTTCAGGTGTTCTCCCGAGCAAGGGGTCCTACCAGACCTCACATCAGTTCATCATTTCTCCTAGTGAAGTCGCACGTCGTGAAGATGGTTCTGGTGTGAAGGGATTTCTTTCGACTGCTGTCAGTGGACTTCGATTATCTAAAACAGCCTGCACTCTGGGAGAAGTTAGAGATACACGAGCACTTCTTGCAGGCTCATCCACGAAGAGAGCTTCAAATGAGAGTCCGAAGCAGCCTGTTGATGAAAAGCCATCTGCAGGGTATTCGTGTGTTGCAGTGCGTTTTGCCCAGCAGAAAGCAGCTGCGTTGGCTTGTGAAACAACAAGTGGTGATTGTAAGCTGGAGAGGTCAGGAACTCAGCTGCGTTCTGGTGCCGAGGGGACCCAGCGCAGGCACGGGACCTCTGCGACTTTATCATCCACCCGACACGTGGATTCCCAAGTAACACGCAGTGCGGAATTGGCAAAGTCACATTCACAGATAAACAAAAACCACACTGTCCTCCAAAGAAGCACTTCACTGGGAGGAGCTCACCCAAATATTTCCTGTTCATCCAGCCTTGAGCACAGTTTCTCTAAGGGGGGGCCATCGCAGCTACTCGTAAAGTTTTCATCTGGAAATGAAGGTGAAGTTGACAATTTACTGAGAGACAGCATCAGCAATATTACAAATGGACTATCTAATTCTTACAAGGTAGGTTTCCTTTGGTCTTATTTAATGTCAGTTTATATTACAGTAGCTTATAGAAAATTTGATTAAAATGTATTATGACCTATCAGTTTATATGATTTCCTGGTCCTTAGCTAGTGAGCACTTTATAGCATGAACTTTATATTTATAAAGCTGTAGACTACCCCCACATAACTTTTCCATTCTTTGTTTTTTCACAAATTGACAAATTGAATTTTTTAACCTTTCCTAGATGATTTAAGCCACAAAGTGTTTCTGTAGCATAAAACCAAGCCTTAAATAGTATCTCATAACACTTTATCATGGTACACTTTTCTTCAGGTGACACAGTATTTTAATATGTAACTCCATATTCCTGCTTTTAAAAATAATCAGTTTTAGGGGCTGGGGAGATGGCTCAGTGGAATAAGCGCTTCCCTGGCAAGGGCCTAAGTTCAATCCCTGGTTCCACCAAAATAAATAAATAAATAGTAATCAGTTTTCTCCCTTTTTTAATCATTGTGAAATAAAATACATATAAAATACTTATTTAAGATATTAAGCAAAATTCTAAAAATGTAAAGATTTTATAAATGAATATAGAAAAAATATTTCAAATACACGTATTTATAAGATAGAAACTATCACATTGCACATTTAAACAGAGGGCAGCTAGATAGTTTTCCTCTGTATGTACCCTAACCATAGGAATTTTGTTTCTACCATGTTTTTCTTTAGTTATCAGTTAATAGTGCCTTTAAACATGTAACTCTGTCAACAGTATTCATTTCTAAGTTTTATCTTTACATCTGCTTTAAATTACTAGGCATTTTCCATATTTTTGTATTTACCATGTTAACTTGTTGTTTTGACTAATGTGCCTTACTATGTTAGTAATTTAACAAATCATAGTCAAAACAGCTCTTTATGTAATTTGTCCTTTGAAAAGAATTTGAAGTGTTTTGAACTGAAATAGTTGCATAAAATATCTCTATTTAGAAAGTCTTAGTAGATTTCAGGAAATTTTAAACATTTTTGGGAGGGAAAAAATTGTATGTTTACCTGTGTGTATGTAATACCTACTATCTATATTAAAGGCTGGGGAGAAACTTCTGGATGAGGAGTTGCAGTTAAATACAAGGCCAAATAATTGCTAATTGGTTTTCTTTCTTCTGAAATTCAGTAAATGTAATCATTTTTAAATTTGATAAATATCATTATTATCATAACATCAATACCCAGGTGTTAATCTAAGCAACTAATTTATTGAGAATGGAAAGATTTGATCTGTGTTTTACAGTTACTAATTTCACATTGACAACTTTTCTAAAACCAGTTTTTAGTAGATTATATTCTGTTTGGTTGCTTTCCCCAAAGAAAGGAATGGAATGACACTACAAAGAAACCTATTAATAATTTGCTAACTGAATTGTTATTTGTAAATTTGTTACCGTTAATGAAATAATCTGAAAGGAATGATTTAACATTGAAATACTTATTAGAAATATTTAACTTTAAAATGGTTATTTTATGGTAACATTAAAATATGTTGTTGCTTTTTAAAAAGGATATTTTAAATGTATTTTTAGTGAAATGTAAACTAAACCTTTTGCACTGCTGAAATATTTTTCTTGGTCTTATTTAAACTTATCAAAGCCAACAGATTTTTTTGTTATCACCAAATGCCTAGCTTTGCACTAATTCTAATTTTTTTAGATTATTGAATTATAAAATACTTCAGAAATATAGTGTTAGAGTTTTAAATTGTTTTTCTTTAGTGTTTAGTAAACAACTTTTAAAAGTGTTGTAAAGAACTCCTGTTTTGAAAATCTGTAACATATGCATTGTTGTATATTACTCAGTTTCTTTTTTTCTATTTGTTTTTGGTTCTGTTTTTACTTTTCAAATAAAATAAAAATTAAAGAAATAAAAGTAAAGAATACAACAGTTGAATTCAGTATAACCTAGATACAAAGTCATCTTTAGATAATTAATCAGGAAATCAAGGGTTTATGAAGAAGATACTAACATTGCTTTTTCTAAACACAGCAGTGACAATAATGGGATTTTCTAAATAATCCTTTGTTTATCAATAATTACATATTAATCTAATTATAGTGGTATATTATAACTCATTTATAAATAAACAAGTCCCAAAATATTTCCCATGTCTCCAGCTAGTCTGGGTTAGTATTCTGATATGCTGAGTCTGGATTCACATTTAACAAGTTGATATCAGAGCAGCATGTAGTAATGTCAGCCATCTGTACAGGGCGGCGTGAAATTAAATCACCGTGCTGGTCAGAGACCCTGCTTTCTAAAGCACGCAGAGTTCTACAGATTCTTTTCTTCTGTGTTTAACTCCCAGCCTCCAGCAGCGTAGGATCAGATTTCTAGCTCTCTATAATCAGCCGCTTGTTAATGACTAATTTTTAAAATCTGGTGAAAACTTACCTGTGCCTGAGACAAAGGCACTGTTCTGTGTTTACAAGTTAGAATTTAGGTGGAATTCCGTAGTCTAAATAATGTTTTTCTGGGCACAGCAAAGAATGTAACAGTAACTGGCATATGTTTATTATATGCCTTTTGAAACACAATATTACTTTGTAAAAGCTATATAGTGACTTGATTTACAAATAGAAATTTGATGTTTTAACCTTATGTATTATATTTTATCAGCTCAATCAAGAAATGGGTTAAGGAGCTACAGTACCTGTGTAGCTACAAAAATCATTATTACTGAAATTTCTGAAATTCGTATAGCAGTTATTTTTCTCTGTTATTGTTTTACTCTGCCTGTTTTCTGAGTCTCCTGTTACGTTGTTAGAGGCCCAGAGCTCTTCTTATTTGATTTGCTAAGATGTTTTAGAATTGTGGCCCAGGTTTGTGCTGTTAGTGTGTATGCATGTTTTATTAGAAATTTTTTAAATATTTTTCTTTGTTATAAAAGTTTTTGTTCATTATGTTACTTAATCCTGAAGAGGTAAATTCTTAAGCCTGATGGAAGTGAATTTATAAAAAATTTATGTTTCAGTTATTTCAGTCTTTATCACACCAGTGATTTCAAAGTCTTTTCCACTCAAGATTGTATGTACATTTCAATAATTTCTTTAGTTCTTTCTAAAATAAATATTTTAAATGCATACTTATTTTAGTGTCCCATTATTTTCCCACACCTTTTATTAAATTTGGCAGATTATTTAGATATTTGGTTAAGTTTATTGTGAATGTAACTTAATCTTTCCCATAAAAACCAATGTAATTTCTAAGTATTAACTCTAAAAGTATGATACAGTAACTATGATGACCAGTTCTGGAAATTTGTCGGACAATGTGTGTGCTCATTTCTTAGAACTGATGAACTGTAGTCTTGGTTCTGGAGAGTGTCAGACCATTGAGTTGTGTGCTTTGGGACCCTTTGAGGTGTCTGCGGCTGCATCTTCTTCCCTTCGTTCATCCAGCACACATTTGAATGCCAGGAACTAAGAATAAGCGATGAATAAAATGCAGTCTCTGTTGGGGTGGGGCAGACGCCCATTGTAGTAAAAGTCTGTTTCTGTCTGGATATCACATTTTGGAGACAGGTATGTCTGGGAAAGACAGGAAAGCACTTTTCAGGAGGAGGGAACAGGCAGAGGAGGTGATGCTGAGAGCACCTGAGAAGTGAATTGGAGCTCGTCAGCCAGCCTGTCACCTGTAGCATGCTTCCATGGAAATGTTTAGCATCAGCCCAGGTCCTCGCCAAAAGATGCCAGTCGTGCCCCTCTGCAGCATGACAGAAGAGGTTTTGAGATGTTGCCAAATGTCCCTGACAGGGAGGACACCCCCAGCACCACCGCTCCAGGCAAAGCGTATGCAAGGCGATTCTGGCATGAGCAAGAGAAAATCGTGTGTCCCTGGTAGTAGACAGCAGTTAGGTGACACACCTCGTACTGTATTTGAAGTGCACAGGGCTCTTGTTACATTAGCAGAAGATACTTTTTTGTAAAGCCATGGATTACAAATGGATCAACATTTTCTTAGCTTGTATGACTGGGTAGATGGTGATGTCACGAACCAAGATAGGAGAGTGGGAAGGTCCAGAATGGGGATGGAGAAGACTGGCATATTGTTGAGTCTGTGCTGTTGCCAGGTGGGGGCGGCTGGGGCTGCAGAGCAGGGCAGGGAGAGTTAAAGCTCTGGTAGGGGTGAACTCAGCCAGGGGAGCAGGAAGTAAGATGTGAGGGGACTACAAGCCACATCTTGAGCACCAGGAGTTTAGGTGACAAGGAAGAGACAGGTGGGAGAAAGGCCTGGAGTCATAGGAAGGGATGGAGGACAGGGGCACCCCTGAGATGCAGCAGGCGGGTGGTACATGGTGACCTTGCCAGTGGGGGGCTTTTCTGGTGTCAGATTGAGGGAACAGTGATGAAGCAGGAACAACAAGCAGAATGACCTGCTGAATGCCTTGCGGTGCATGATACAGCACTGGCAAGGCACATGCAGAACCCCATATCCGAGGTTCTGGGTTGGTCTGAGATGCCTGGGACAAACCCCTGGCTGCAGAATACAGTCTCTTCCTGGAGGGAAGGACAGGCTGTTGCTCTGTTCTCTCCCCTCGAAACCACAGTGAGTGAGTGAACACCAGTAAATGCTGCCATGGGGACCTAGCAACACAAATGGGGGCAACAGAAAATGGGAAATGGGAACTTGAGCTTCCATGAATATTCACAGCTCATTTTGGACATTGTTTCTCTGTGCAGTTCCCTCCCTACCACCAAAAATAGGATGAAACAAAATCCAGCTTCCTTGGGGAAAGCAAGTCAGATTGTTGAGGCCCCTGCAGGGCGCTCTTTGGTCTAGAATTCCCTGAATTCTGTGCAAGGCCTCCCTCTCTGGACCCACCACCCCTGAGCCTTAGGACAAGAACAAGGATCCCTGAGGGGTCAGGGAAGGAGGCAGAGGGCTAGGCAGGTCCAGGTGGGAGGGGGCTCAGCAGGAGAAAAGGGGGCTGAGACAGGGATTCAAGTCTCCTCAGCATGTCT